CTTTGTTTCCTTGGTGCTTATTTGATGTTAATTACATGGACTTGCTGTACAACAAACACAATGACAACAACAAAAAAACTTGCCAATACATACAGAGCTTACAGAGTGAAAGCAAAGTTTACCTAATAATTAACTATGCTTTCACTTACCTAGTCAAGTACCAGTAGTTTCCCTGCACTCAGGTTGCATACAGGAAAACAACTGTGAAATACACTGTAGATATCTGAATATGTAATTGAAGTACATTAAAATATGTCAATTCTCTTATTTTATAAAGCCAATCATTGATTGGGTCAAGAATAAACAAAATCATTGAACTGGGACCAGAAACAAATTCACTGTCACCTCCTTCTTCCTCCATCGATTTTCATGCAGTGTACCTTGCATGAGCTAATTACAGACTACTTTCAGGCATGCTGTAACTGTTTGCTTCAACTTTGCATGTTTGACCTGTGTATACTAAGATGTTTTGAACTAACTGGCATTTCCATGCAAAGACCATGCAATTCTTTACAAGAGCTCTTCAAAGGAAGTCACGCAAGAAACAAAGCCAGCAAACTCACAGCAGATTAAAGCTCACTTCCTGAAATTTGCTCCAGTTCCCAAAATGTAAATCAGAAAAATGAAAGTTGGGGGGGTGACCTACAAGAACTCTGGTACAACAGCCTAAACCCTTGCTTCAGTGTTTCACTGATCTGTCACTGTTTTTCCTAGCTCCACTGCGTTCTTGCAGCACCTGACCATTGCCTCCTAACCAGTGTACTTCTCTTGTAGTAGCCAAAGAAGGAAACTTGCACAGAGGATATAAACTGGGGACATTATTCCACGTGTGGACTTCTGAATGTCACAGAGGGGAATAATCACCTGCACTCCTGCTAACTCAGCTTCCCATGTGTTAGCCTGGTCCCTTCTTGTAAATTTCTGCATAAGGCCAATTAGTGACACTGAGAAATAAAGCACATTTCTACCACATTCTCTGTACTAGCTGAAATTTTACAACATTCCATATTTGCCTCGTGTATCCACGATATCACAAAAATGACTGAAATTTCAAACACAAATTTTGTTCTGTTCTTTAATTTCCTCCTGGTCTGCAGTCATCATTGATACAGAGTAGATTTAAAAGACACATCTGCAGAAGTCCACCTGGAGAAACAATTAATCCAGTGCCTTCTCAGATATTTGAAAGAGAAAACGTGAATAATTTGAGTAGGAGATGAGAAATTTCAGTAAACAACTGATGCCTCTGCAATTATTAAGTCTTCACTGAGTTACACTTAAATTAACTGAAGTCCAAACCCAGACTCTTCAGCTGGATGTGCTGCACATTTTATCTAGTGTCTGATACGTATTTGGCAGGCAGCTTGCCCTTAGCTTGTCTCTTTTAGGAAGCTTCTGCAGTCTCAAGGACTGGGAATATCCTTGCTGGTCCTTCCCAAACTGCAATATTCTCTGTATATATACAGCTGTAGAAGACCTATATATCTCTCTGTTGCCTAAAGACAGCTTGGCTTCACCATCCTGCCCCCAGTCCCACACTGCTTCATGGGGATCTCTTACTCACCGTGCTCCTCCATCTTTCATTTCCAGCAGCTCCTTGTGTCAGCATCTCTCAGCATGCAATGGAGTCTTAGGTCTGGGAAAGAGAAGAGAGAACAGAATGAGCTTTTTCCCTCTAGGTTGCTTCCTTTCTGAAATCCTAACATAAATAAAGCTTATGTTTATGCCATGAAGGCAGGGTAATCTCACAAAGCAAAAAAGACAGAAGGAAGAAGTGTATGGGAAGAGAATACTTCATGCAGTCCTTCCTGATCCAGTCCTACTTTTTTGTGAAGGTGAAGCGATACTGGGTGGTGAGGTCCTGGCACAGGCTGCCCAGAGGAGCTGGGTTCTACATCCCTTGAGGTGCCCAGGGCCAGGCTGGATTGGACCATGGACAGCTGAGTTGGTGGGTGGCACCCAGACCAGAGCTGGCAATTGAAACCAGATGATCTTAACAGGTCCCTTCCAACTCAAGCCATTCTATGATTCAATTATAAAGACAAGTCACTCTTTTTTTTTTTTTTCCTCCAGCCCAGAAGTTTCAGGTGGGTGTTATGTTTTTGTTCACTGAGCTGGTTTTCATTTTGATGCTGTTTCAAATTGTTAAGCAGCTTCTGGATCCTCTTATCTGATGGATGAGGCAATTCTGTCTTTACGTAATTCAGAGAAGCCACATGAGGCCTAATTAATATTTATAAAGCATTTAGGATGCTCAGTTGAAAAGGATGATGATGTAAAAGCTTTACAAAAACACACAATTTTTCAACTTCTCCATAGATGCAAGTAAATTTATTTCCCCCCTTTGTTTTTCCTACGGCAATTCTGTCCCCTACGGACTGTGTGGAGATAATTAGTGCCTAGAAGCCAATAATACAAAGAATTTAAGAAGAGAGAATAAACTATTTATACTTGGATGGTAATCCATAAACACAAAACCAATTAAACATTATTTCCTGTAAATTGGTGTCCTGTCTCCTCCAACCACCACCTCATCATACATCTTCCCACACCTCCGGTCACCTGGTGTGTGCTGCTCAGCCACACAACTTGAAGCAGCCAGCAGGTCAAACCACACAGCAGAGATAATGCATTTCATTGTTACATCTGCATTTACCCTGGCTTGTGCAAGTAGGTTGAAAATGCCTGGAAAATAAGACACACATCCCAGCTGCCTGAAGAGCTGCCAAGCACAACCCCAAGCAGAGCAGAGCAGGCTGGGGCTCTTGAGGCCTCTTTGAGATGTCTGGCTTCTACCTATGCTTTGTTCTTGCAAACAGCTGCTGGTGCCAGCAAAGAAATCAAAAACTGTTTAACCGAGGCTGGAGGAAGCTGGAAACCTTCCCACCCTGCTGCACAACAGTACCAAAAAGATACAGTAGGCATCACAGTGACAAGAGAGGCACCGGGCTGGAAGGGATGTATTACAGCTGGCAACCAAAAGCACCAGTTAGAGGAACATCATCACCCATAGCAAAACGTGCACGTTCATTTTTTCAGGTCTCATCTACCACGCGGAGCAAAATTGTAGGGAAAGAAGCTGCTTGAGTGCGTTTGTATCTCTGCTCAACCATACCAGCAGAAAATACCAGACAAAGCGGGCTGGGAGCGAGGAGGGCTGATGCAGGGCAGCGTGAGCTGCGAGGCTGCCCTCCAGTGGCCGCATGCCATGCATTACGGCTGGGCTCTCCGATGTGGAAAAAATCCTTTTCTGACTTCGGCTTGTGGCAGTAGCTTCTCCTCTCACCCACAGCTTATGGGTCCTCTCCTTGCTGCTTGCTGCTCCCCACCCCTTCCAAATTCCCTTCCTGGGGGCTGCCCAAATCTCCACAGAGACCTGAAGACTTCTGGAAATCCCTTGCCAGGACAACAGAAGCAAGCAGGGGCAGAGAAGGGCAGTATATTTGCGAGCAACAGGACTGACATCTGATAAAACACATGAATTTCACCTCCTGTGTTCCACAGCTGTCTGGACATCAGTACTTTGAATCACCTGGTACCCACATTCAGTCAAGAGATGCCCTCCAGCTGGAGGGGAGGGATTCCATCTCTTGGGGTAAGCTGACCTGGCAGACCTGCCAGGCTGTCCTGAACACCCCAAGAACAGTTCTCCCTTCCAACTACTTGCAGAAGGTCCAGTTCTGCCTGCAACTGTATGGGATGAGAGTCTACATCCCAGAAATCAGATCTGGGATATTTCCCAGTGATGTATGCTCAGGCCTGGACCTCGAGTGATGGCTTTGTTTCTTCAAAAAGCCTGTTGGAAGGTTGCAGGTGGATGGGGAGCAAAGAGCTCCCTCCTAATGCTAATTCTCTCCTGAAGCACCGTGAACACCACTTCAAGAACTTGTTAGCGTCAGATGCCAAAGACAGACCGCCTTCTGCTATTATAAAAATTATCGCAGCGACAGATGAAATCAGCTCCAAACTATGTTTTCCACATTTTTCCATGCAAATACTGCATCTGGCTGCCAAGGAAATTATGTTTTGTTTCTAACGGAGAGCTTGAGGGCTGAGGTATGGCAGCGGTGGTGTCCAGGCCCTCCCCAGGAAGCGTAGCTGTTGATGAAGCTCCACCACCATCTGCTGGACATTCTGAGGATGAAGCTGCCCTCATCTCTGTTTACTACCTGAGTGCCAAAATCCCCCCCTAAACTAAAGGAAAGATAAAAATGCTGGGGTGGGGAGGTGTTAAGGTCCTTGTTTTCCAGACAGAGGGAATTTTTCTACCTATGGGCAGAAGCAGTAGCTGTGCAACTCCTTTGAAAAGTGTGGTTTTAATTTCATTTTATTGTAGCCCAGACACATCTGAGAGACAATTCTTACCTCTTAATTCTTACCTTACAGCCTGAATGCAAAAAGCAGCAAACAATAGGAAAAAAAATGCTTTCTTAGGCAACTTAAACAAGCAAACAAACCTAACTGTCCCAAATATCTGGTTTGAATTTTGGGTGGTCCTGTGTGGAGAGATGAACTGTACTCCAAGATCCTTGTGCATCCCTCCCAACCCTTTGATTCTATGAAATCACACCCCAAAGCTTCTCAGCTGTGGTGCCAGGTACGCAGCTGTCACCAGGAGGTCCCACATACTCAGGACTTACTGTACCAAAGCCAATTTCCAGATTATCCTGAGTTTACAGCAGGCCATGAGGATATTGCAATAGCAATGTCTCAAGCCTGCTGCATCATTTAGATCTGACTCCTTAATAAATGAAGAAGCAAGGCTTTAATTTGAGATAAGGGAGCTTCAGACAGCCTCGCTCAGACTGATTTTTTAATGATTGAAAATTATAGACAAGCTGCTCCAATTCCTTATCAGGCATTTTGCTTTGAATTATTAATAACCAATTCATACTTAATCTATTTAGTTCAGAAAATGAACTACACGTTTCACGGGTTCCAACATTTTTCATTTTTACTGCATTCTGTATCCACAATGAGATAACTTTGTATAAACCAATTATAAGACAAAAAAACACAAACTACCTTCCGTGCTGCATTCTCTCTCCTAGATTTCTGGAGTATAATCACAAATAGCAGCTTTAATATTTCAATGCTTCCCTGCTTCAGATTTCCTTAAACCACAACTTAGGCTAACGATCACCAGAGAGATATAATTCTCCTAATACGTGAAGGAGTTCTCCCAGATTCTTTTATTTTGGTTAAAAGGGACAGAATAAGCAATTGTTGAAGAAAGAATGAAAGCAGGGCTCGTGTTTAGGGTCAGCAGGGAGGGAGAGATCAGGACAAAATGATTTAGGAAACATGAGCTCAAAACAATGTTGGTAAACAAGGCAATTCTTGTTCCACTGTGACTACTGCCTCCTCACCAGAGTCTTTGTTTCAAATTAGAATGAAAAATTGAAAAGTGTCTATTTCCTTGAATTAGACAGTTCTGAAAATGTTGGTTTTACAATGACACGTTACCCTTCCAATTATGGCAGAACATAATTCACAGAGCGTGGAAAAGAAAACTTAGAACCAGAATTCATTCTCATTCTTCAGTAAGTTCCAAAAATATTGCTCAAGAAACAAACCCACTGACATGGCTTCCTCAAAAACATAGCTTCTTTGTATAGAATGCATTTCTCTGAGAACAGCAGAGCATTAAGATTCATCTTGTATAGTCATTCTGATCATTCTCAAATATAATACATAACAATTAATCAGAAAAGTGTTACTTAATGAGTCAAGGCACTTGAATGAAACATCTTAAGCATCTCAATTGAGATTGCTTTGTTGAAAGCTTTCATGGAAAACGTTTTCTCAAAAAAGCTTGCTCTACCTTCACTTTCAAAGCCCCAAACTGAACAAACCCAGTAAACGATGCAATCAAATTCTTTCACAAATGCCTGACCAAAATAAGGAACCACATACAAAAATGCAGATGCCTTTTAACGCATCGACTTTTAAGAAGAGAGGATTGGCTGATAAGAGAAAAAAAAACAGATGAAAATATTTATTAATCCCAATAACAAGCATATTTTAAAGGAACTTCTCTTACATTTTAGGGCCCCTGTTGGAACGAGGAAGCTGCATCACCTATCTGAACAGTAGTGGCTGTCAAGAAGCACGGATGATGAGAAGCACCTGGACTCAGGAATGATTGCAAGTGTCTGAACCTGTGGCATAGGAGGAAACAGCTGTAGAAAATGGAGGTTATAAATTCAGATCCACATTCATTGGCTAGATGCAAATACATCCCACTCTATGGTAGGTACAGTTTTCCTATATTTTTACATTATTTAAAAAAGTTCCATTCTTCTTAGTTTGCGCTTATTCTTTGGCATTGGCTTGTCATATAAGCCATTTTTGAGAAGATGCTCCTTGCTGTGATGGATCTGGGCTCCATGCTGAAGCTGGAAAGAGCACAAAGCTTGAAGGGGTCGTAGTATAGTCTCTTGTATATTCTTATTTTTTTCCATGATAGTGAGAGCAACAGCAGCACATTCAAGTGTAGAGAGACAGCTGTTTGTTGGCTGTGTACGAATTACGTACTGACTTGAAATGTTGGTTTTTAACTGCACCTGCCTGGGAAATCGGAAGAGAGAATTTTTGTAAAATATATCTTTAGCCTGGCTCCAAGTTCCATCAATGATGATCATAACTGGTGGGCTAGAAGACATCACAGTGACTTCTTCCAAATTGGTAGCTTCAGCTCCAGGATACAAAATGAGAGTACTGGGATTTCTGCATACAGCAGCTAGCTCAGGATACCTGTCTTCACTAAAACGCCGACCAACCAAAATTTTACATTTGTCTGGAGGGAGACAAGCTGTTAGCAAAGGCACTGTCCTTAAAACCCGACTTTCCATTCAATGAAGAATGTTATTAGATCCATAATGGATCCAAATGGCCAAAGGAAAAGGTTTGTAGGGAAAGGTACTGAACTGGAATAAACACGTTTAATTAAGAGGGAATATCAACCCTGAAAAAGGGTTTTTAACAGCTTTCTGACAGGTGGTACTTAAAATTGTCCTTCTCCATCCTATAGAGACAAGAGGATGCCTGATTGAAGATGCTTAGCACCGCTGCTAACATTAGGCTTCAGCTGAATTAAGCAGCACATAGTCACATTATTATATATTATTAATGCAGGTATTAATGTAGCCACAAGGCAAGCCTATAAAATTTTCCAGCCATGCAGAAATGCTTAACTAAAGAAGAGAACCAATCCATCACCCATTCCAGAGCCTCACTTCACAGTAGAAAATAAATTCACAACTGTTAGCAGGCCATGGTGAGTGCATTACACAGCAGCCATCACGCTGCATAGAGCCTGTGCAAAGAGGCTGCTAAGTATTTGCTTGAGGTCCTGGAAAGACTCCCAGAGAAAATGCACAGTGCAGAAATAGTGCTGCCATTGATTCTGGGGCATTTATTGAACCTTATGTCTTTAGGTAGGTACAGTCAGTGGAGCCTGAAGTCCTTGAGACAACACAATAGTCAAAGTTGTGGTAAATCAGGAAATGCCACTTGGCTTTAGCTTTTCCAAAACAGGGGCAAAGTTAAACTGTAATCTGCTAACAGATTGCAGAGTTAATTTGTAATTCGTCATTGCAACCCGCCAGGAACAGTCTGGATGGTGAAAATATTTAAATCTTTAGCCCAGTTTCCAGTCATTGGGGATTTTACAACTGTGGGATGCTCAAAGGCAAAGGTTATCATTCATCCATCCATTCTGCTCACCTCCCATCACACCACAACAAAGACAGTGGCCACAGACTCCACATACATCAGCTTCCCCAGGCCGCCTGTTTCAGTGCTTCTCTATGCACATTACTCACAGCCATTATTCCATGCATTTTTTGTTGAAATTTTGCACTGTATACATACACAAACAACTAATATCTATACAACAGATTAATTAATTCGCTCTTGTTTCCGTTACTGTCAATGGTTATGGCACAGAGTCTGAAAGTCTCTTAAGGCTTTATGGTCTTTGTGATGATGCTGCCCATGTAACAAAGTGTAATGAAAATCTGTAAAAGATTTAAAACAAAAAGTTTCAAGTAGCAATTCAGACCAAAGCAGATCTTACCTTGAAAACACAAGGCAGCTGAAAACTTGGTGTACCATGGGAGAAAACAAAGCAGAGAGAGTTCAATTCAAGTGATCCTTCTAAATAAGCCTGACAAGCTTTTATTAGAAGAAAACTGAATTAAGCAAAAACAGGAGATAAGTGTTTTATCTGACATTTGGGATTTTAGAAGACTGAGAAATAGGAAGACATTTACACAAAGAATAACACATAAGGTCATTACCAATAAAAATTGGGTTTTATTCAAGCTATTCACTCTAATTGAATTTCTGTTTCCTACCTCAGCCCCGAGTTGTCAGCTAATTGAACTTTGCTTGCATGTGAACATTGCTAGAGGCCTCTGAAAGAATCACTTGATTACAACTTTTTTTTTGAAAGGTGAAACAGCATCCCTCCTCCTTGATTTAAGTGATGATCATCTGTGTAGGTTTTATTATATTAAAGCCCAACTCCAATTGATTCACATTTGCCAGATGCTGTCAGAGATGCTGAAAGGGACCTATTGCTCTCCAGGTCAGCTTGAACTCACTGGATGAAGGGAGAATCAGTAGAATCAGACTTATGAATAGCCCAACCCTTCCTGCAAGGCAAAAGGAACTCTTAGAATCGTTAAAAAACAAGGAAACCACACAAGGATTCTCCAGAATATGGGAAAAAGGCAGCTAAATGGCAGCTCTGCTTTGTGATCAAATATAAAGTAACTCAGAAATCAGGATGTCACCTCAGCCAGTTTTTAAATGTTTCTGATCTAGTAAATACTCCAGTAAAGATTCCTCCCACTCTCAAGCTTCCATGTGCACTGTAATGAAAGCTTTTCATAGTTTAATTTCAGTCCCTGGAACAGGATGAATTTATCAAAACAATTATTTTAGCAGGTTATAAAAAAAAAAAAATAAAGGAAAAAAGATACACCAGAAATACTTATTAAATTTCATATTAGCAAACAGTTTAATTTATTAAAATGACTCCAGAACACCTCTGTGCTTCTACAATGGACAACAAGTAAAACGTGGTAACATTCACAAGGAAGCAGTACCGGGCTCATAAGCACAGAAACAAAACAGCAACAGTATCTTACAACCCCTCCAGCTCAGTGTTCTTTAAAATCGTGATGCTGAGTATTTCTTGGCAGAGCAGAGACCAGGTAAAGGCAAGTGTGTGTATATGCTTCCTAACCAAAGATATGTGAAAAAAGCCCTATGCTGTCAAAGAGAAGGCAGATATGCCTTACAGGTCACTGTGAGTAACGTGTTAATAAGCTCACAATCCCTGGGGGCTGGGGGGTTGTGGCAGCATGGAAATGGAATTCTATACTTCCGTTGCTCTAAAATATAAGATCTATAGGATACACGTGGAAAGATTACATTTCACATATTATGCAAGACCCTGACCCCAAAAGACCTGCATACCTGATTAACATGAATAGAATGATGGTGCTTGTGTCTTTGTTAAGAGGAGAGTCTTAAAACACATTTGTGGTAATTCAAAGTCTATTATTTCTTCTTTACTGATTAACTTTACCAAGGTTAACTCAACCTGGTATTATATCAGCAAAGGAAACACGAGAGGTAAATAAAGTCAGAAGATACTGAAGGTGTAAATACAGTGCAAAAGTGTTGGTTGTAGTTTTTGACTATTACAGCCAGGTAATTTTTATACTGTGCTTTATTTCCAGGGAAAAGCATCGTTGTGTGTCATAATATCCATGCTTGCACACATACACACTTGCTGCAGAAAGCAAAGGCTTCCAGTGGCAGATGACTCCTAGTACATGATTTTTTCACGTGCAGCTTTTTCATACAAAACCAACCTTACAGGTGTATCCTGCCTCTGCATACCAAATGCATTCATTAATGTGTATTCACATGCATAGTACTCTATCCACTCGCTGACTTCTGTTAATCAGATTTTCTCTTTATTTTTTTCCTTTTTTTTTTTTTTTTTTTTTTTTTTTTCTGTTTTAAGGTAAACTATAAGTTAGGTTTAGTTGCAACACCTAGCCAGAACACTCCTGCGACCACAGTGCTCCTGGGGTATATGCAATTAACACATCAGTTGGCAGAACAATCTTAACAAAATGACTCAAGTTTTGTTTGCTTCATATTGCTTCATATGTAAAAAATTTTATTTACAATCTTCACCGTTAATACACTTCACATGTACTGAAGTGTAGTAAACTATGAGACCTTGTTATTTAGAAGCACCTAGTCTTTTAAAAGACTAAATGGAAGCCATCAGCAACAACACTGTATGAGCATTCATTGGGTTAACCGGACTGTGAACATTAGCTAGAATGAGCTGAAACTTCTCTAAAAAGCTAGTAGACAAAAGAGACGATGTGCCTTCCAGTCACTATCCTGCTGAGACAGCAGGAATGCATAAAAACAAAAGCAATTCTACAGTCAGTTTCTATTCATATTAATGTAGCTTTGGTTCAGAAATTCTTTAAGTGTTGTACAGCACCTGGTTTAGTGACAGAACACGTGTCTCACAGTGCTAACTGTATAATGCTAACTATAAACCATAGATTTCAAATATTAATAGCATTTAATAAAAAATTTACAGAAATATCCTCGTTGATAAGTGTGCAGTACAAACACAAGCTCCTTGGCCACAAACTCAAAATGTGTGCGTCAGTTTTGTGCTGGCATAACAGTGCAAACGCTGGGATTCAAGTATGCTTTTCCATATTTATGTTAAGCAACAGAGATCGACATGAAAAACTTGGGGGGGATTTTCTGCTCACAAGGCCATGACATGAGAATCAAGTGAAACAATGCCATAATGGAAGTATTGATTTCCCTCATACAGAAAGCAATCTACATGAGGAAAACACATTTCATAAGCAAGCCAGTTTCACGTACCACCAAGTTATTGCTTCAACTCGATCAGCTGTACTGAGAAAACAGGACTACAGCTTCCAATTTAAACTCATCTCACATGAAGAGAAATCTACAGTGCAAGTTCCTCCATGCAAAATGACCAAACTGCAAGACTAAAGTCCTGTCTCATGGGACAGAATTATTCATCAGCTTTCAATTATTCAGATCTCTCTGTGAATTTTTTTTCTGTAAGTCAGTAAAAACAGAGACCAAAGGACACTGCTTATGATATTTCCGTGTTTCTAAAGGCTACTTCTTAACACTAACTAAGATCTGCTCAGCTACAGAATATGAACCACTGTTTTCCAAACAATTGTTGAAGTTGCTGATGAAATTTTTAGGGCCAAACTTAAAAAATTATTTCACCAAATCAAGTTTTTGCTCCACTTAAAAAAAAAGATCTGACACTTTACTAATTACAAATAAAATCTTTATAGCTTTTCTCAATTAAATAATAATCTAAGATTTTACAAGATATTCACAGTTAGACAACTGGCTCCTGACTTTCATCTGCCTGAAGGACAGATGCCACCATAAAAACAAAAATGCTATTCTGACATTCTTCATGACAGCAGTGATCAGTGCAATTTGCCACTGCACTACACAGCCCTAATAGTGCAAGGTATGCCTGCTGACATTTCTGACAATCATCTGCTACATGGTCATTATTCTTGGATGTTTGTAACTGTTATTCACATTAGAATTTTGGCATTTATGTTAGCATTGATGCAAAACTATGGCTTTATCCATGAAGTATATATCCTGCCTAAACAAGATTTTAGATACTTTTTATTTAAAACAATAAAACTGGATTTGAATGAAAGTTATTTTTTATGCTATAAGCTGTGCTGCCACTAAACTCAAGATCTCAGGGTTAGCTACAGATCACAAACATTTGTATTTGTGCATCTGTTACCATTTTTAAAAGTGGATTTATTTAAAACATAACATTGATAAAACTTCACTCTCCATTCTAAATCTAATTTTAATCATTGCTCTTATTTTTTGCAACATGTTTTATAACTTGTATCCAAAGTGTCATCTGAGTATCAGAACAGGATTGGAACTGTAAGAAACCCATAGATGCATACATAAGAAGGCACTTGTCTTCCAGTAGTTCAAGTCAGAGAAGGCCTTACCCAGACAGCGGCACCTTAAATTTTGAAGGGTAGCAAATGTCCCCAGGATTTGATACAGTCTCAAAACCTGCCTTCATGTCCCTGGACAAAAGTGCTGTATGTGTTCTATAATACCATGAAGCTCATGATGAATTCCAGTAGTTTTTGCCTGTTGCGCTGAGGTAGGAACGTAGTGCTAAGTTCCAAAATAGTGTCTCTCTTTTGATTGGTCTGACTGAAAACCTGAAACACAGCATGAATACAAATAATTATTATCACATTCAAGTAATCACATTTCTTAAAAAGAAACTAAGAAATAAGTACAGTGTGTAGTAAACATCCAACTCCACCAACAGCAAGGGACTAAAGAGGCACTCAAAAAGCACCTACATTAAAAAAGCACGCACTTGAAAACAAGAAGTCAGATGCAGTGCTGAGCAGATGCCACCTGGTTCCATTTTCCTGACAGCAGAATAGACTAGAATTAAAATGATGGATACTTTCACTGTAAGTTTTCCTATATGCTAACTATTGTTAGCTTTTTTAAAGACCAAAAATGCCCGTCTAGCAATACTTGGCCCAAATACTGGTGCTTTTCAAATTACAATCCTAAATCCCACTTGGTATCCAGGATGTCATGCCATTTTGGTGAAAGAAACTTTTCATTTGCAAATTCTATATAATAAGCAGTCTAAAATTTGAAATTTGAGTGGGAAAGTGCAAAACTGCTCCTTTACTTCAAAAATAAAGAACACCTGTATCCTCATGGTGGGCCTTAGATGTCTATTATGATGGTGCTCATGGAACATCAATCAGTGCTGGGATGAAGTTCAAGAACTAATGCTTCTCAGAGATTTGAATAGTCCTTCAAAATTAGCTATCATTAAGCAGAGCAGAGTTCTCAGCCTCCTACCATTGATTGTGCATCAAGGACATGGAGCAGAACAGAGAACTTCACTAGCTGGGAATAAAAACAACTGGTTCCCTGGCCATCACCTAGACAAGTTTTCTCAGGTGCAAGCAGCGTTCTGTTCTGTACTGTGTACTCTTTTCCCACGGCCTTTTAGGAAAAGCAAAATGCTCAGAATACACAATATGTTTGCACAGATAAATTCACAGATTTTAAACCGATGTTGCCGAGGTTTTATGCCTTGCCAGAACTGTGCTCCTTATTAAAATGAAATTCGGAATCTTCAACTCTGATCACAGAACACTTACCCCAATTTCCTTAAAGACTTTCACTGCGTTTTTCACATGACTGTATGTAGCACTCTCAGCTGCAAGAAAGAACACACAGATATAAACAAATTGAAATAGTATTTGGGCTATCCTGCTGCCAGGAGGATCAGAAAAAAAAATCAAATACAGTTCCAAAGACAAACTGTTTGACATACCATACACAGCAACATTCTTCTCTGTCCTGCTTATTAAATGCCTGTGTAACTTTTGAAGGTATTCGGACTCTGAAACAGGACCACTAAAATTGTGTACGAAGATGACAGCAGAGCTATATGCCTCCAGTAAAGGTCCCAGTAACCTCTGCAGGAAAGTGATGTACTGCTGGTGCTCTTGAGACTGACTCACCTAAGAAAGGGAAATAAGAACTTAAAGGAGAGACCAGCAGAAAGGAGAAACAACCCACACCACAGTACGTGGCAAAACGTCACAGTGCAAAAGACAGCGCAGTGTGGAAGCACAGCAAAAAGTATTTTACCATGGAGGGCAAATTAGGTACTATGAGACAATGCTACTTTTTCCTCCTCCAGAATATTAGTGATGTAATAGCTATTTTCCCAAGATAAAACTGAAGACGTTACACTGTTCTGCAGCCAACAGAAGTGCAGCCACGTATTTGTGAAGATGGAAGTACGTTTCCAAACGTTAACAAGATATCCTAAATAGGTTTGTATAAGTTCTCTGAGAAAACCAGTTAAAGTCTAAAATCAACATGACCTGTCCATGAAGTAAGAATAAAACATTTAGAAATCAAAATACTTCATCCTCCAGGAGGTTTCACGACACTACCATTGCCTTTCCACTGCCCTATTGGAATATTTGATGTTTCGTTAGCTGAATTTCCCACGGGAAGGAGAAGAAAATGTGTTTAACCAACTGCAACAAAATGCAACCAGATTAACACTGCAATCAGAAAAAAGCGAAAGGTTGTATCATTATCCCTCCTGAGCTAGTGAAGCAGTTTGTATTTCTGCTAACAGACTTCAATGTTACGAGTCTTGGGATAACACTACCTTCAGGTAGCAATCTCTTTGCTCTTCTCCAAAATCACTATCTTCATCTTCTTCATCACTTCTCCAAGTTAATGGTTCAGGGAGTTTTTTATTCCACTGCTGCTCTGTAAGACTGGGACTGACATCCTCCTGATCATCCTGCTTAAATTTGAAGATGAGATGATAAAGAGGCAACATAAATAAATAAAATATATTCACTGTAGTTTATTGTATAATCTCATCCAGCCAAATCAGTCCTGTCATTAATCATTATTTAATGAAAATAGGCAAGACTTAATAACAGACAGGGTTCATGTAAGTAGAAAATATTTTTTCTGCAGTTTGCCTATCAAATCAAAGAGAAAATCTCTGGTGTAGTGTTGCCGCAGCCTTGCAGTATCTGTTGCCAAGAAAACGTTTACAATTGCATTAGGATAGAAAGCTGAGATGCTGTTGGTATGTGGATGCCACTAACCTTTGAGCTGCTATTACTTCAAGGACATATTAGTTAACTGAGTTTCACTGCATTACAATATCTGAAATCTCAGTTAACATAGAATGCCCCAAGTTCCTATTTTTTAACTGTTAACTTTCTGCCTCTTAAGTACTCATCCACACATGAGATATAGGCTGGAAAACGATGAGACAGTTTCAAGCTGAAAGGACACAAACTGTTTAAATCTTGGTTGAGACACTAAGCCCCTTCTACCTGTTGTGACGCAGGAACTCCGTTCTGCTAATCACCCTGACAAGCAGCATCCCAGTTTAGCCTACAAATACTCCACCAGTAATCCACCTTCAGAGCAGGGCATGGATTTACACTCATCTAAGACACAGGCAGGTATCTTAGGTAAGCACGTATTTCAGGCTTTTGGGACAAGCGCATGATGGCAAGAATTCTACCATGGTGGAGTTTTTCAACCTGAACTCCTTTTTCCTCACAATATTCATTGTTTGCTTCTCTTCTGTTAAGGAACAACATCAATTTCAGTAAAATCTTTAACTAATGAAGTGCTCTGGAAAGGTGTAAAGCGCTGTAAAGTTCCATGGCAAGGAAAAAAAAAAGGTAATCTTTCAAGACAATAAGCACAAGCAAAAACAATAGACATTAATCTGCCTGAACAGTAACTTAGTTCTATTGTGAAATAATGCAAGTATGTCACAAGTTCAGGCACACAATAATTAAAGGTACAAGAGGAATACTCCACCTGTCTGATCAATATCTGATGCAACAGTCAATTTTGACAATGCATCTTTATAAATGAATTCCAGATAGTGAAAACACGCTTTGAAAAACAAGGGAAACATCAGTGTCCATCACTCATTATTATTCACTTTCCTCAAAGTAGCTAAACAGAAGGATTTGCAAAGGTCACCAATGCTTAGTCAATGAGAAAAGACCCTCCATACAATCCTGCCTAGAATTACAAATCATGCAAGATTAAAAACTAATGAATAGCAGACACCTTATTACTGTTATAATACCATGACAAAGAAGAAGCACTTTTTATTTGCCACAGAAGCCTTCAATATTCCAAATGTTATATTCTAAAAGAAGCAGAGGCCAGAAAATAAGTTTAAGAAAATACTAAAGAGAGTACTGTGTGTTGGGACTGTTCCTCATTTTTAGAAATAAACACAAGGATCACAGAAAAACAATTAAGAAATACAAAGCCTGGATCAATTAAGCTCAATTGAATAGGAAATTTACTGATGTGTTAAAGTCAGTGGTAAACTTAAAACACCAGAAGTTATAGAAATTAGCTACCTCTTTTAGAGAACAGACTGTAAAAATCCACAAACATTTCCAAGCTGTCCCAATTCATGAAACAATCGTTGCTTACAGTGTTTGCACAGATTATGGACATTCTTAATGCTTTTAACAGAATTAAGTAGGAATAGAGCATCTCTAAGTTTAAGAGATTCAGCAGTGGAACATCTACTTTTTAAGTACTCAGCTGTGGCATTATTGTTGTGTGTCATATAACACAGGTGTGTATTTATATACCACTTATGTCACCTATATCCCAGCTATAAGCATCTAAGTACCAGACTCAGCAACTGAAACTCAGAGAAAGCTCAGACAGGTTGAATGCTTGAGGAGACAGAAGTCTTTACCTGCTGCTATTCATACCTGTTCTCTTGACCTGCCCCCAGGCACTGAACATACAGGTTTCTTCCTAATCCTCAGAGCAGCATTAATTTTTGGATTTATTTAATAACGATGACGATTAATGCCATGCATTTAAGATAAAAAGCACTCAATCGTAACAACAAAGGAGGAGAAAGTTAATATCTGGGACTATCAAGGAACTATTACCTACACGTAATAAAAATGGAAACACATATCAAAAGGTATTAGAGTGGAGTAAAGGCCCTAAAAAAGTAGCCTTAAGCTCCTTTGAAAATGGACAGCTGTGAAGAAAAAAAAAAGTGGCCAAATACACTACACCCCTACATCCCTCCAGATGCTCTTTGACTTTTTGCCACTTGTTCCTGGACTCCAAGCTCTGTTTTGCCACGTCTAAGAAGCAAAGGCATGGTGAGTCAGCTGTCTCCTGGTCCCCGTGTTTCTTAACATCATCTGCCTCAAACACCATGCAGCAACTCCAATGCACCACTGAAACTTCAAAAAAAAAGATCTGTTCTACAGGCTCTCAAAGAATAGAAATTAAACTTCTGCGCACCTGTACTAGAAATCTAAAGGGCTTAAAAAAAAAAAAATCCCCATTTCACAGGGCAGTATGTCACCTTCAGTTGGTACAGTGACATTACATACATCTGTAGCCTCAAAATTTGATCATAACCAGATATCTGATGCTTACAAATGCAAAAATCAAGTAGCATCAGGCCTGGACTTGTTAATTTGTTATGCATCTTAAGTAACAACATATATTTAGAACAAAACCAACAACTAACAAACTACCCACAGTTAGTCATGTACAAGAAACAGCACAGTCAGCATCTCTATCACCTTACCTCAGCCACCAGAAGAATACCATATTGTATCAGCTTTTCCACTGCTTCATGGCAAACTTGATATATCAACTGACAAGGCTGCAAAACAGAAAAGGAAATGCACTCAATAAACTATAATTAAATATCACATCCATTAAATCCATTATAAAAACAGCAGTTTCCTGTTCTGTGTGCTTTTTCTACATACAGCAGCATAGTCCTTTTAAACAAGTCATTCTTTTACCACCCAATGCATTTGTCTATCCATGTAGTCAGACAAACATAAAATATTACAGTGAAAGAAGATACTTAAAATTTGTCCATGTTTTTGGAAAAGAAACACTACTACACCAGTAGGAAAAAAATGAATCAAATATTAAATAGGAAATATTTAAGCTTAAAAAAAAAAAAAAACAAAAAAAAAACACCACAAACTCCCGAGCAACGAAATTACAGAAAGCTCTACCAACCAAATGAGCTTGCCTTATGTTTCACTTAAAAAGCAGAAGTCAAAAAAAAACGTGTGTGCAAACTTGGGAGCTAATTCAAGAATTTCTAGAATCTCTAAGCAATCTGCACTCATATGGCAAAAAACCATACAGCACTGAACATTGTAAGTGTACAGAGCATCTTTCAACATCTAACATCCTGGAGCAAAACAAAAAAACCAAAGCTAGGCCGTGTTTAAAACTGTCACTAAGTATTAGGTGTGGCACCACAGGACTCTTGCATAACTATGTAAATTAAAATTATCTTTACAATCTGGAGTCTTAATTTCCAGTGTAGTTTCAATCATGCATGCAAACTCATATGAGTTTGGTACTCTCCAAGACTTAGATCTGTTTAAATGAAAATATTTAAATAGCTTTGGGGAAGTGCAGATAATAACTGCGATGGTCTCATGACCTTGGCAAGACAAAATCTGCTAGAAGGCACTTAGAAGTCCAACATGCAGTTATGGGAAGCTCCAGAGATCTTCTTTCTCATGAAAAAGTCTGATGCCAGCATTGTAGAAATGCTGCAGGTTTGTGCTGTTTTTCACTCACTCAGCAGCTGCATGAGCAGGAGGTATGCACCCAGTATGTATCCCTAAATGTGACTGTGTCCTGTCCTGCTAACGAAACCATCCAGCAACAAGAAAGAGGCAAGTTAATTCATGTTATCTTAGATCATACATCTTCTGGATGAACTAGTCTGATGCAACTACACTCATTCAAATGTACTTCCTTGAAACAAGTGGACACACATTATTTTTTCAAATGCTCTACAACTTCCTACTTCCCATTATCACTAGCGAACAGACCGGAATCAAGACAACTAAAGAAACCATTAATTCTCTTTAAAGCAATAAAAGCAAAAAAAGCAGTAAAAATTTGGTAAATGAACAGTTAGTTACTTACCAAAGATACAGTAAATTCATTAGAAAGCAAGTAGCACAAGCTGGCAGCTTTCCGGACAAGGTGCTCTTGACTAATCAAACTGGGAGAAGCACCATTGGTACCATTTCTGAATCTCTTACTCTGAACTGCACGAAGACTGCAGGCTAGAGCAGAAACAAACATTAGCAGAGCTTTCACAAAGAGTTTTACAAAGGAAACTTAAAAACCTTGTCTATTTTTATGTCTATCAGCAGTCCAACATCATATATGTAATTGAAAAACTAGGACAGAAATTGCCACTACAGCTTTTGCGTTCCATTTATCTCTAGTTGAAACAAAATTTCATTAAAATATTGCTAAACAAAGGCAAAAGTTCTTCAAATTGGCTCCAAACTCTGTGCCTTGTTTAAGGTAGTTACCAACACATGAATACTTCCAAGAAAGATAAGGGAAAATGGGAAAAAGGAGTTCAAACATTCCACACAAAAACCAGTCTAATTTTGTCTTTCTTAGAATAGACAAGGGGTTACGCAGGGAGGGAAGAATTAAGCATTAGTAAACAGTAAGAAGAACTGGGGGGTTGTGCAGATACTTTGAATTCACAGGTCACAGGAAAGTCTTTCCATAGTAAACTCCAGCTCGTACCAATGATTGCCTCTTTAATGAATACATGAAGAATTCCATTGCTGTAGAAATTGAGTTCAAAGACAGCAGGGATCGTTGTGCTGGGAGTGATGAAGAACTCGTTGTTTCGACTGGTGTTTGTGATATTTACACAGTTCCCCAACAAGTGGATGGCATGCATGACAACATCATCTGAGTTCCCTGAAAATCCCAAATCGAAGTCACGGGCTAAGACCTCTTCCTTCATGGAGAAGAAATCTTCTACCAACCTGGAAAGATCAGTTCCCTAGAAATAAAAACAGAATCACAAAATAAAATAATGTTCTTTTTTGCACAAGAGTTTATTATAAATGACATGTATGTAGAAAACACATAAAGAGACACTGATTTTCAATAATCCAAAATCCAACAGTCGTATTATAAATCCTTGTTTTCACATATTTTGCTGAAATAGAGCATGGTTTCTGAATTACAATTCCAGCCACAAAGCTATCTGAGAACGCAAGATTTTTGTTTGATTTTTCTCCATTTCACAACCAACAGAAACATAAGTTGTTCTTTAAGAGGATATGTTAAGAGTTGCCATGCTTCCATTACCTCTACCATAAAAGGAAATATCAATTATCTGGAAACACTGTGAGTAAAAATTTTTTTTTCAAGTGGTTAGAGACATGAGAAAGAGCTTTTCCTTAAGCATTTTCTTGGTGTGATGGTTGTTGGTTGTTTTTTTTTTGTTTGTTTGTTTTTGCAACATATTCAGACCACATAATACAGTGTTTCTTTCATCCCTTCATTGTAGGAAATTGGAAAGATTGCACTGATGGGAGCAGTGATTCCTTTTGACTGGGAAAATTATGCATCTGATCGATATTTTTCAATGCGATCTCAATGCATGTGCAGTAAAAACTTCAAATTAGAGGGAAAGGAATTTCAGACAAAATGTAAAACACACTTGTAGGAGAAAAACATCTTCCAAGCGCCATGCAAAAAGGTGCAATTAAACATTAGAATCATTCTGCCAACATGGTAAAATATTCAGGTACCAAGGAATAGCAGAACTCATTTGAAAATTAACTGAGGAGTTGCTACCCTATTCAATGATAAATGTTTTCAAATGTCAGGGCTCAAAAATGAGATTCTAATAGAATTGAACCAAACTCATGTAGTCTTCAAAAACAGGTATAACTAAATTTTGGATTTAAAAAAATCTGTTTTCACATGGACATTTATTATTATCTCCAAGCATCTACTACTAATCAAAACATTAGTATATACGAAATGCACTTTAAATACATGTGTCTTCTTTTCTTAGTAGCAAGCTATAGTAGAATGCACTCTGTGCTTTCAATCAACAACTGTAAAGTGCTGTTAGGATGTACAAGCAGCACAGAAGCCTTACCTGCCTATGTCTGTACAGCAGCAAACAGGCAACAATGTGGGTAGACATCACAGCACAGGACTTGTTAGCAGCTAGAGGTAAACAAGACAAAGTGACTGTGGGACTTCAATAGAATGAGAAGTTCAGAACACCTTTACAAGCGGAAAATTAGCCACTACTTAAAAAAAAAAAAAAATGAACAGCAATACTGGCATAGAACTGTACCTTCTGAATAAAATACAAAGAGTGCTTTAATAATAAGAGATTACGAGCTGTAGAATTTCAAAGATGCCTTGACTCTATCTCAGCTCTTACTGCTTCAGCTCCTTCTAGAAATACATTAATCCTACAGAAGTACCATAATGACCAGGCACAATTCTGAAGTGTTGTAAGCATGTAAAATATTAATGTAATCAAACTACAGTAATTTGAACTAGGAAGCCTGAGTAAGGCTCAAGCACTTACTAAGCTAAAAGTACCGTTTTGTATACATCTCTTAAGACCACAAATCACAGACATACTAACCAAAACACATGCCACATAGCCTATAAGCTTGGCAACACCGGTCCATGCAGACAGAGAGCATGTAGCACAAATTACACCTGCAAGATACTGTCATAGCTTTTTCTGTGGTGTGATAAGAAATCAATGTATCAACAACAATTAATTCAAACACTTCAAAGTAGATCAAGTTCAGTACACTGGTGCAATAAATACACAAGTTACCAGCATAAACAGATAGAAAGCTTGTACTTGACCAGAAAGCCAATTTATCAAAAACTGCAAAGGGAAGGAGGAAGGCAAAGGAGTGAAAGCTGTCAAGAAAGCATTTGAAGTCAGGAAATGATCGTCTGAATGCCAGGAATTTGCATTATCAAACAGCAAGTTAGTTCATGCAATAAGCAAAACAAAATAGGTAGCTTATGGTGATACTGAAGCACTTACTGAATAAAATATGCTCAGCCAAGTTGGCTATCAGCTCCCTTCTGTAAGGCTCACTGGTTATATCCCTGGAGTTAGGCAGTGAAGCCTCAGTACCTTCATCCACAGTATCATTAGGTCTGAATGCAAAACAAAAATTTGCATTATGACATCGATTTTTTTAAGATACATTAACTGAATTACAGTGCAAAAATACGTCATGTGTTTTGGTAATGGCACAAACATGTTATGCCTAACAAGCTCCACAAAATGCTGAGTATTCACCAGCTTTTCCCACTGAGCAACAATCCAAGATAAAAGACCATCTAAAGAGAAAGAGCTATGTAGAACACTTGGCTTTTCCTATGCCTATTCATATTGCCATTACATCACTGCACTCCACAGCTCTTTTTAATGAATAAGGAACAGAAGTAGATTAAGCCTAAAAGGCAGTTTTCACCTCAGCCACTCTATATACCAGAAATGCCTTTTGTATGGACCTACAACCTTCTCAAGATAAATAAAATGTTTTCTCCACTAGGTCCACGTGGGTTTGTATGATCCAAGCAAAGGCCTCCACAAAAATGTACATTTTTATAACAAATGCAAGTCTATTCCTAGAAGAAAAGTTTTGCATTTCTGAATGAGTCATCTCCTTGAGCAAGGGATATTCATTCTCAAGACCTCATTAGGAAGGGTTATTTGGTTTGGATACAAACCAAAATCCATCTGAAATATTTGTAGCTTTTAATAACATACTCTTCCTTTTTCACTGTGTCATTTCTTCCTTCAAATTATTCCTTACAGTTTAAAATTAAACCATCAGAGGTCACAACAGTTTAAAAAAGAAAAAAAGCCTCCTGGAACTTATTTAGGAAAATAAAAAATCACAAGAACGTAACTCTTAAAACAGAACGCACAGTAATAAACATCTAAGATTTTTGTTTGTCTACACACAATTAGATCATCCTTGGGAAGTTCAAGCACCATTTGAAACATGTTGGAGAATTCTAAAAAGACAAAGGAAGGGAAAAAACTAACAAAGAAACTAAAAACAAGCCCAACATGCCCTCCCTCTCCCCAGCAACCAAAAGACTGTTTACCTCGATGGAAGTATAGCTGGTAACAAAGCTTGTTCAAGAGAAAGAGGAGCAGGCACAGGTTTTTGACTTTGGCTGTTCACATATTCCTGTTAAGAAAAGGATTATTATTTTTTGTACTTTTTTTCCACCTAACTTCTGTATTTAACTGATAACATTATTAATATGAAAAAGGCAATCATTCAAAACTGCAACTGTGATTAAAAACAGCTCACGCTAAAAGTGCAGGAATAAGGTTACAAAAGTGACAAGCTTGCATGAGTTTGCTCACTTTTATAATGAAATGGAAAACTTCCTACAGCAAGGAATCCACACTTGGTGAAAAGCAGTGTAACAAAAACAATGCATAATCACTGTCAGCATCTTGCTGGGAACAAGTCCTTTGAGACTAGCTTCTCCATGATTAAATTAATGAGAACTGCCTTCATTAGCATGAATGAGAGCGAAGTCCAATACCCATTTAGAACCAACACACAGATTATAATTATTGCTTCACACTATTTCCTTTAAACATTGGGATAGGAAACATTTCCATAGGTAAACATGACTACAGAAGCTCTAGCTGTAAGACATCATAAAATTAAAGCAGTCAGGAAGAAGACATTGTATTACAAACTTGAAATTCTTGAATTACAAATTTCTCAGTCTCTCCTTACAGTTTAGCATTTACATTACTGTGCTTTTGGAACATTGTGTTCTTCCAGTTCCTACGAAGACTGATGTGGGAAACTGCAGAGCCACTTGGCCTGCTGGTCAGGAAAAGTTCTCCCAGGAAGGCTACTTAAAAGACTTTCACAGCCAGCTCTTCCTCTTCTGTTTCTAATCCTGTACTCACAGAGCTGCACAAAGGCTCAAAATTAACCCTAAAAGCTCATTTTCTTAGAAAACCTGCAGTGATATAAGTACGTTAATTCAAAAATGATGTAGTTATGCTTCTGCAACTCTTGGTTAAGGCATACTGATCAAATTTAAGTCATGCTTACTTTATTTTTGTTGTACAAGAATGAGTACACATACAAATGAGAGCTGGCAGAGTTTATTAGGAAGGTACAGAGAGATCAGCATTTCACTAGATTAACAGGGCAGATAACCTTCTTTTCCTTATACTGATCCAGAAGCAATTGTTAGCTCTCTACCAAGAATAGCCTGGAAGTGACCCAAGCCGCCTTCCTCATAAGTGAATTAATATCTTTCTCTACTACAGTAATTATAATGCAGTGCAGACAGTCACAACAATTTCATGCTGTGGTAATTGAACCCTCTGAAGCTCTCCAACCTACTGCTTTTCTGAGAGAAGTAGGGCAGAAAGAGGAATGCCTAATTAATTTGAATAACGTTCTTGTAGGTTGTTGTTACAGCATGTTAATCTTATTAAAGTCACTCTAAAAGTAAGCTATAGCTTACTTGTAGCAGAACACAGACTACTGAAACGTATATAGATTAAGAAGTGTCATACTAGCAGATTCTGCAAAGAAATCCATAAGAATTTAAAAGTGAAGGCAGTTAGCATTGCATAAGTGTGTCACTGCTGAAAGAGCAAAAACATCAAATCTTCAAAATATCAAACTTACTTTTAAAGAAAATGGTTGTGCAAAATCTACTCTGACACAGCCATAATTCTTCCGCAGCATCCTGAAGACTCCTCTTGCTATACCCCAAAGACTTTCATTCTTCTTAGGCTTGCCCTGGAAAACGTGAGTGGTTGCTTTATTATTTTTTTTCAATTTACAATTATAAGGTGGTGTTTAAAATTAAAACAGATTCAATAGACACAAGGGTAAAACTTCTGATACGCTTTTCTGACTTCAAGGAAGTCTAGAGAACTAATGTTTTTCCATATGAAAAGTAATACAATTAAATGGTTATACCTCATGAATTGGCACCTACAAGTATGTAACCTATTCTTCAGCAATCTCCATCAGAAAGGTTTTGTGATTCACAGCTTTACACTCTTCATCACAAACAGCAAGTGCATGTCACAGAGAACTACTAGCACATAATTTAACTGTGTAACAGACTCTCCCGCCCATCAACAGAAAATCCCCAGACAAAACAGGCTATTCAATTGCCCTTACCAGCTGCTCACTGTTATAGTGACCTTCAATTATGCGATCATAGGAGATTCCCACAGGTATAATTAGGACATCAGGAGTAGCATTTGAGAAGAGAGCATCCACTACCACAGACAAAAGACCCGCTCTAGGACCTGATGTCTTTCCACTTCGAGACCGTGTGCCTTCCAAGAATATTTCTAAAAACTGTTGCTGTCTCAGCAATTCTTCTATGTGCTGAATATGAAGAGATTGAAGAAGAAAAATACATATCTTCATACAATGCTAAGCTCATGTTTGAAACACATTGTTCCTCATCAGTAATCATTTTCTCTTAAAAACCCTTGTAAGACCACAAGTGCGACTTGGCATTAATACTTAGAAGAATAAGTAATAATGAATGCCTGACACAAATCCAGACCAAACTGTTATTTAATTTGCATGAATATACAAGCAGTATAAAGCCATTTGTTCAAGAATATCTCTAACATCAGTTGATTCATTTGAATTGCATATGTCTCTTCTTCAGGTTTCTCAGAACATCTCATCCTCCAAGATGTAAATAGAGCTATTCTACTCAATTGCACAAAGCAGCATATCAACATATCATAAACAGAGACTTCCATTAAGTAAAGAAGACTGATGTAGATATGCCCCAGTACAAAAGAAATCAGGGAAACAAGGCTTAAATCTAGTATTTATCCAAAAATCTTAATTCCATTTCTTTAACAAAGGTTGCACAAGGTGTAAACCATGTCCTCAAAGGTACTGGACATTCAGTTCTCTTTTACCTCACGCATTCAAGCCTTGATGCAAAAATGTATTCTGCTTATGTAAAATGAACCCTAAACAAATTCAAAGCACTAAAAATCTTCTCCCAGCTGATGGAAGTCACTCTCCCATCAACCACCCAATTCAAGTACTATCCATGGACACATAGACAAGAAATACATACCACATACAGCAAAGCTCTGTAAAGGAAGTCCTTCTGACCATCAGGACTCTGATCCAACTTTCGACGAATGAAAAATCCTCCTAGCTTGCGGATCAGTGTGCTACAAAATCAACAACAATTACACTCATGGGTTTCAGTCCATAGGAAGCTAATACCCACTCGGTGCAAAATTCCTAGCACACAACAGAAACTGAAGTTACTATCAATGCATTAATCTTCTCGTAAATTATGGGAGCACAGAGATATTTCAAATGAAATAGGCTTCTCTACACTGACTCACTTCATTTCACTACATTAACAGACCATTTATCCACTGTAGTGAACCTGAGCATTGTAAGTCAGGGAGTTAGTGATCCAAAGAACAGCTTATGTGAGTAGGCCTTCATGCCCTTGTTGTACTGCGCATATGCCCTGGCTGCAGGATAACCTCAGCCAGTTAATTTCAATAGAGGAGCACGCAGGCAACTCCCACTCCCTACCAGCAATTACACCATCTGCGTGGACTTGTGTTTATCCAAATGCGCACCAAGAAGTTCTCATGAGAACATTCTTTCATACTGGGATAATAAGGGACCAGCACCTACTGGTGCATAACATCCAAGACACCTCCTTTCTCTCCTTGTTATGTTCCACAAAATCAAGGAGCAGTTCAGAGATCAGTATCCCCAAACTCTTGCTCCCTGGCAAAAACTGCATAAAAGACCTTCTGATTACCTTCAGCAACACAATTTAAACACAGAACAAAATGGAGTAGTTTCCCACAAAACATTATGCACTCAGTACTGTCATTGCCCAATAGCTGGTTCATTAAACTTCATAAGAAGTTTCACACATTACTCACATATTAGTCTTTCCTTAGTCACTTACCCACTTAGAGACTCCTACAATGAAATTACTATTCCTTACTCCACTTAGGTTATGGAAGACTTTCTCAAAAGGATTTTGTGATGGTCTCTCTCTGAGAATGCAATAAGAAGCACAAAGTTCAACTGAAGTGCCCAATAATCCTCAGATTCCCTTACGTGTGGTTGGAAGATACACTGCTCAACTGGTCACCTGACAATCCCCTCACTTTTGTCTTTTTCAGATAATAAGAACTTCCATGCAACTTATTAACTTTACCTGAAGATGGGGATGTTGAGATTATTCCCTGCAGCAATATAGGGTGCTTTGATGTTATGGCAGAAAAGTATGAATGTAAGGAGCAGGTAATCAATGTGAGATTTATGAACAGGCAAGAAGATAAGAGGCAAATTCATCTACGAAAGGGAGAGAAGAAAAACAAGACAACAGTTGATTAGAAATGTAGAATATTACTCCTTTTTAAAAATCCATCGTTGAGATTGCTAGCATTCTTCTGATGATAGCATCAGAAGAAATGGTATTTTTCAGTTGTCAGCATTCAGTTTACTTCTGGTTTTCATTCAGCTGTCGCACTGCCAACATTTTTGTGAATTGTATTTCTACGGACCGCAGTTTCCAGTTGCGTGCTTATGAGAAACAATGACTGATAATCTTCAAACTCATGGCACTGATACAGCAATTAGTAAGCTTAAAGGGGCCAGTGTCCAAGTGTTGCTATTTCTTTGCATAAGACATCAACAAAAAGAACCTAAAGTGGGGTTCTTAAAAACTGTAATCAAAAGATATTAAAAAAAAAAATATTGGCAACAGTTTTTTCTCTCTTCCATTTATCTAATCTGTCTTTGTAGAAACAAATCCTGCAAAGAAAGAGTCGATTCATTTGAGTGTAAACAAAACAGCAGATTTAGGTGGTACTTTTAATCAACTTCAGAAAGAATTTAAAGACCAGCAACAATTTGATAGCATGGAATGCACTTGATTTCTTAATTGTTTTCTACTCCAAATAAAGGCAAGAGTAATTCGGAAAATCCTAAACATACCCACTAATTTAGTACTGTTTGTCCAGGCATAGAAAAATAATCCTGGATGCAGGTTATGAGAGAATCAATCAGTTTTATAGTTAAAATTTGATCCTGAAGCAAAGACAAAATCTAGAGCTAATATAGTACTTAAGGTTACACAATTCTGTCACATAGACTTAGCAGAACCCTTCTGAGAACAGAAAGTGCTATAAATGTAAACAGCAACAGAAATGAAACTTCATCAAAAATCTGCCTAAATACTTTCCCATCCCCCTTACCTCTGTTGCGGCTTTGACCATTTCTATTTGACCTCTGTGAATCTGAATATTCCAGAAAAAGCTGTTAAATAACTTCAGTAACACCCACCCAGTCAACCTGAAGAAAACAACAAACATAATTCAAAGACTTTCACTCATTGCTACCTTTATTTTCACATTGCTTCCATGTGACTAAAGATAAAGCCATACAATTTCATTACTTCACATTCAAACTCACTGTGAAATCAAGTTGCTTAACAAGTCTTTGCCTATCAACTAAAGCTGTGATTAGTTACTACATTTGTGTCATAATTACAAAAGGCTGAAAAAGTTGCAGCAACCACAGAGGCTGTTCAAATTGCAGAGACTGCTTAACATATGGGGCAAGTTAAGAGGTCCTACAATTAATGGCAATAACTAAGCTGGTGGATAAACACATCAGGTGACAGCATTCTGTGGTAAAACAATATTCAATTTTACTAGTAAAAGTAGACATCACAGCAGAATATTATATGTAAGATAAGACTAAAATGCTGATAACTACAAGCAATAACATTCAATGGGTTACCCAGAAAAACGTTGTACAAAGCACTAGAACCAAGCCCAGCTTCAGGAAAAAATAAGTTTGTATTAAATTATGTAAATAGGTTTATCGCTTGAAAAAATGGAGGGCTTTTGCTGCATCTCAAAATGAAGAATATCTATCCTTTCTCTAGTTAACATCAGAAAAGGTGTTTTTATTAATAATGTCTTATTATTTATGAATAATTATTCATTATTTACGAATAACACATTATAAGCTCTGCTGGTACTACAGAGAGAGGCTCTCTCTTGTTCTTCTACCCATCGACAATACTGACGAACCATTCTCATTACCTGATCAAAGCCGGTGACACATTTGCTACCATTTCTTGGAGAATTTTCCTAGCTTTTTTTTTCACTTTGTTGATAGCTTTAGGATCCACCTGAGCAAAGCTACCTGGAACACTTGGCTCAGAAGCTTCATCTACAATGGCCTTCTGTACCCTAACATTAAAGAAGTAAAATATATGAGACAGCTGTGCAACAGAAGAGTTCAAGACAGACAACAACTACTGGAAATGAGCTACTTCAGCAATAATTTGCAATCATAAAAGAAGAACCACACCGAAGACTTATGTACTCCAAATTCTCTACTAATTACCTCTAATTCAATACCACTACGCTCCAATCGGAAAGGTGGAAGACAGATATACGTGATGAAATTTGATCATAAAAAATAGTATGTCCACACTTCATAGGTACCCATACCAACTGATCACTGAGTTTTAGAAATGGTTAATAAAGTTAAAAGTGCAAAAGAACACCTGAAATCTCCTCTTTGTTGGTACTTTGCTTTTACTGGCAGTTTCACTGACCTCATCACAGATTTATGTAGTTGCAGTTTTCTACTACAATATCTTCCTCTTCAAATTCTCAGTTTCATGTAAAAAAATATTACACGGTCTGCTTTCCCCATTTAGAACACATACACGAGCAATTACATGGGCTAGAACACAACCCATTTAGAACACATACACGAGCAATTACATGGGCTAGAACACAATAACTGTGGCACAAGGTAGTCTGCTTTCTTTTTCAAAGCCAACATTATCATCTTCAGATGGGTCTTAAACATTAAAAATTCAGGAGTTCAGAATGTTAATGCAGATGGTGTGTAGCCTCCAATAAAACTAGACATGAGGAGCAGGCATGAGGCTCAGTTTCCCTGTGTCCACAGAAAATGGATACCTTAATAGCTGATCAAAGGCTCAACACAGCATTTGAAATGCAGTATGAGACAGAAAACAAGCTCCACAAAGTAAAGAGCAGGTTATTTCATCACTATAGTCTTTTTCCAGTTTTGCCTCACACTGCCATCATAAACTACGGGACTCTGAAATGCTACTTTCCCACTCTTTCTGAAGGATTGGTAATTTTTGATAGCAGCAGTATAGCTGCAAGTAATAGTGATTTACTTGAATTAAATAAACAAAAGTCTGAAGCATTTCCACATAGCAGTTTATTTTTCTGTGTACTGAGTGCTGTCTGCCCACAATGCATTGTTTATTTTGAGATTAGGAATTATAAATCTCCTCTCCTATTATTCAAACAGAAATTGCAAGCTACAGTTCTGAAGTGCTGCGCTGAAGAGATTCTATCTTCTGATATTTGAAATAGACTAGTTTTCAAAGCCTGCAGTTTCCACATTATCATATGATTTAAGTCATACAAAAAGCAGTTTATTTTGCATCAACTTACCTACTGCTATTCAGCACATTTTCTGTCAGGTTCTTGGCAAACATTCCCTTGTGAGCATCCCTCTCTAGCACAAAAAGAACATAACAAAGCCGTCTTGCAAGCCATCCTCTGTACCTACAAAACATGAAGCATGTTTGAGTGTCACCCTCATAAAAATGGAACTTTAAAATGCCTTAAAAAGTATCATTTAAGAAGCAAAAGCAGTAAAGTTCTTTGAAGATCTACTTAAAAACTTCTGTACTTTAGATCTTGGCCAGCTGAGCATTTAGTATTGTGCAATACTCTTTCATTACCTTGCACATGTGGAAATATTCGAAGCTTACTTGCACTTCACTGCTGAAAGATCTCCACGAACACAGAACATAAAATAGTGAGAAGCTGTTAATTCGAGAAAGAAAGAAGCAGGTTGCTGAGGTCAGGTACAAAGTCTGGGGCCCAATTGACAAAGCCTGGGCTTTTCTATTATCTGTCTGTACCAAGTGACATAGAAAGCACCACTGAGGAGACATCAGAATGGCGACATGGGAAGAGATGCAGGGCACTGCATAAAGCATAAGAAACTACTGAAGCATTCAAAGCCTATCTTTTTTTTCCACTTGTCTTTACAAAAACTGTTCTTAGGGCTGGCAGTGCAATGTAATGTGCTGCTCCATGGTGGTCCCAGTCACAGACGGAAATGCCGCAGGTAGCTACTGCACTGCTATGGCACCTGCCTGCAGTCACCCCAGCTGCTAATGCTGGCAGTTAAACCTCCCTACCACCTCTCAGTGTGTTTATACGTATTGCAAACAGCTATAAAAGATTAGAAGAAACCTGTACATTGCAAAACACCCAGCAGTCTGAGCATGCATGACAATCCTACTGTAATTAGGATGAGTGCATGTGCACGAGCAATCGACACTGCCTCATAACAGTTATACAAATATTCAGACTGCCTCAAAGGACCAAGAATTTTGCTAACCATGTTGTCAGGGAAGTAGATTGCTGACACTGTTCTAATTGCTCTTCCATTTTCCCATCTGAGTTTGACAGCTTTATCGATTTTTCTAAAAAGCGAAGTGAAAGAGATATACTTCTTTCTGACAAAAGTTTTGGTAATTAAGAACAAATTGCAACAGCATGCAACTATCAGAGGGATTTGTCAAGACATGAAGGCTCCTATACTCATTTTAAAGCTTAGACACAATGTAAAATAATTAGAAAACCAGTTTTCTAATCATAATCTGTAATGACAAGAGAAACAACTCACAGCAAATCCCGTCAATATATATTATTTTGAACAGAACCTGTTTCCAAATTACAGAATACATTCCCATGTCAGAAAAAGGATGTTGGTGATGTTTCAGTAAGCTGCCTAAGACCAAGAAACTGTTACTGTCTAACCCCAGTGGACCTCACAACTTCATTAAAATAATCAATTTTCAGACTAATGACATTCTGAGCTAGAGGCATTATATTTCAGAATAATACATTAATTTATACTTTCTTGCTCTTACGTTTCTAACTTAAAAAATTCTCAAAATCACTCCAGGATGAGACTTCAGAAACTAATTTAAAAAACGTTAAACCTTATTTGAGTTACTTTTCTGTGTTCTAAACTAGAAACAACTCTTAAAAAAATAATTCAGAATCGAAGAAAGAACAGTCTCAAACATTAGCTTCCTGCCTCTCGAGCACAGCACAATACTGCCTTTCTTCCACTCAGACACTTGGGCTCATTTCTTTCAGGCCGCTGGCCTCTCTTTGTTTGCTCTGACTCTACAACAAACACTGCAGAATCTGCTTATGCTAATGATTACTGTAAAAACTGCAGCAAGCATTATTAACTTTCCAAAGAACAACATTAAAATTTTTGTGTAGTTCCAGCAACTTCATCCCAGAACAGAAGACGTATTTTACATAGTAGAAACATACAAAACCTTGCTTACACCATCCTTCAGAAGCTACACACTACCACAGCCTAGCAAAACATTTTCAGATTTAACTACCATTAGTTATAATAGTCCAAGTCTAAATTGTGAGCCAGACTTGCTCATTATATTAAAATGCTGCCTGAAGTCATTCTTCAGTGTGGGAACCAAAAAAAAGCTCCTCCCAGCATTATGCTACAGATGCTGCGCTGAGGGATAAAAAGGTTTGTACATCCCTTGTGTTTTGTGAAATAGGTATGACCTTTACACTCTTTGCCTATTACCCCAAAGGACTTTGTTCAAATGCACACAGCCAGATTTTACAAGTATAGACCTTTCCTGAAGCCAACGACAGGTCCTGTATTTCAGGACAATGTATATTCACTCAGTCTGGACTAACCCCCAAGACTTCCTTGCCATAAGATCAGAACACATTGAATTGTGAGCACACAAAAGTAAAAGAAAGACTTGTTACATTACCTGGTGTGTGTTTCATTGATATATATGACATTACGTAGACCCAAAGAAGGAATACTAGCATTGAAGAAGTTATCCTGAAAAAACAAGGAAAAGAAGATTGCATAACTATTTCCCTTTGTAAAAATAGTTGTGTTTTCACATTCCTAATAATAATACTGCAATGTTTTTCACCTCTATTACAAACAAAAGTCAAAGCAGAGAAGTGCTGAACTTGCTTGCAAAATATACACAAACTGTTTTGAAATGGAAATAAAAATCCATACAGCCACCATTCCCAGTTCCAGTACTTTCAGTGTAGTTCCTAGGTTTTACTGCATACAGAAAAAAAGAAATGTGTTTTGGTTGCTTTCTTCAAGCCATAATTTTTTTTTTTTTACTAGTTTCTGATGTAATACAAATCAAGGCTTGTTGTAATACAGAACTCTTGTTTGAGCCAGCAATTCATTAAGTCCCATCAGCAGAGCCATGAGCCTTTTGACAGGCACCCTGTGACATCCAGCTGGACAGCATATCAGGCATCACATAACAGCTGCCCAAGGGTGAGGATATCCATGCTTACACGGCAAATCACCTTCACACTCCTGCTCTGCCTGAACAACAAACTTAATCCACATAAGGACTCCACAGGCCAGACTATCAGCTGTGCTAGGATGAGTTTGGGAACAGTCCCACTTTGGATAAACAAATATTCCCTGGCAGGCAGACCTGAGCTTTCACCTTCTAAGTAAGAATCTTGTCCAAAAGATTAGTTTCTTTCTGTCCAAATGATGTTTAATTATAAAACTGGTACACTGCCAAGCGGAAATAGATAAAACCACTGCAAATGTGCATTTCAAGAAAGGCAAAAACAGGACAACAAAGGAGAAAGACGGTCACCAGTAACAGAATAGCAACGGATCAGCCCCACTACCAATTTTGCAGCAGAAGTCAGGTAAGTCTTTTTTGTTTGTATTTTGTTCAGAAAACACCATTTGCCACAAACTGAAATGTACGAGTGTTCTATGCCACCTGCAAATCAGCTGCACAATACGATGGGAGCAAACGCTCTTTGGCTCCATCTTAAAACACTCCTGCATATGGCAAATAATCTATAAATCATAACTTCAGGCACTTAAAAGGAAACTTTAAATTGATATCACTTTCTTATAACACACACTTGTAATGTTGAGAGGATGAAACATTCAGGCAAAAAAGGAGCAATGACTTGTTCTTAGTCCCCCCAAAAATAATCAATAAATCCAGAGGAGTAACAGAGTATGCGAGTCCACTCCAGTGCTCTGCCCATTAGGTTCCAAACTCACTCTGTGAAATTCATCCTCCAGGTGCAATGTCACACTTAACTTTTCCTCACTTAGCTCTGCCCTGATCCCACGTCAGGCAGAAGATGTTCTGTGACACAAAGCAAGCTCACACCATCCCTCCCTGCAGCACCAGGGAAAAGCTCAGCTGCTACACCACCTCCTATCCTTCCCAACTGAACCCCATTCCACACCTCTTAACTTTGACTGCTTGTGGCACTGATCAATATCACTCTTCAGTGAGACAGTTTCATTTAGGTAAGGCAGAAAACTAAGGACAGCCAGAACAAATAAATAAATAAAGCAGCTTTCTACCAGGTTAGTAAAATTAATCAGCCACAAAACAGCAGGAAGAATGCACAAGGGAAAAGTTAGCCCTGCCATTTAAAGGACCAGCAAGGTGTTAGTCAGGACCACTAAGCAATTCCCTTTCTGAAGGGAACTGACTAAATATAGTGAGAGTAAATGAAATGTGGAGTCTAATGAGAGTTTGCTGCTGTCTGCATCAAGAATGGTAGCTTCTTCTTTTGGCAGAGGGCAACAAAGGACTCAATCAGATCATGCCCCTTTCCTAAGTGAGATCTCAGGACAGGTAATTTCTTATTAAGTAGACAAAATACAGAACAAGATTTCTCTTCTTAAAGTGGAATTCCCAAGTCAAGAGGAACAGCCTAATTACTAAATATATAAAGGCCTAAGCTAAGGATTACTACCATTTTTTACAAGCCAAAACACTTAAGTGTCTGTTCAAAGCAGCCCCAAGTCTAATTGCTTGTCTTGCTGACCATCTCACCCACACCCTTCACAGCAAATTTGGACTTCTATCTCACATTTGTTTATCACTGAAGCAGTTTTCTATTTGGCACAGCAATACAGCGAAATAAGAATTTTTCCTTGGTCAAGGGAAAAGGCAAATTTTCATTTCAGCCCAGCCAATTACGAAGCTCAGTGCTGGTGCAGGAGAGTGCAATTTAAAGCCTGCAGTGTACACGTAGTCAAATTAGGTGATGAACTGGTCGCAAACTACATCAGGCCCCTTATCATTTTACATCTTCTACTTAACAAAGCCTCCCCAGCATTATTCAGTGAAGTTCACACTTTAAATCAGCTGCTGCAATGCCCCTACTGCCACCAACGTCAGGCTGCTCCCAGCAGACAAATATTCCCACTATTCTAATCAGCTTGTGTTGCAAGGATGGGCAGGCAAGACAAAAAGTACTTGGGTGCAGAAAACCAAGCTGTTTTCTCAAGCACAGGATCGATTTCTTCAGTTTTGAAGAGCAGTATACTGCTTATTTTCAAAATGGTATCTAGTGTCTCAATAGAAAATTAAATGTACTAAAATTAAACCTTAGCGCTTTCATAGGCACCAAATGTCAATTACTAATCCAGACACATTTTTTCCATACAATTTCATAGCGCTAATTCTGAAGAGCTGCAGAGTTTGGGGCAAGAAGTAACTACTTAAAAGAAGAGACAAAGCATCACAACAGATCTGTGACAACCATTAATCCCACAACAAAGAAAAAATAACCACAAGCAAAGTAGAAAAACCATATTCCTTTACAACCCAAGAACATTTTGACCTTAATTCTGAAGGTAAGAAACAACATTACACTTTAACTATGCATTATTGTCAAACATAATCCAGCTCATAATCTTCTTACCCGGCTCTGGGGAGTGCATACGTAGCAACAACGTCCCACAAATGGCCTTTTTCTGCTCAGAGTCTCCTTCCATTTTAAAGTGGCAGATCGGAAGAGAGTAGGCCTAGAGTTACACTCTCCCTACAGAACAAAAAGAGACTATGTAAATATCCAGCAATGTATAAACAAACACTGGGTATTTGAAAACATTTCATTAGAGGAGCTGCCAGACGCATGCACACAAAACTTCTCCAAAAATTTATCTGTAACTAATACTTATTCTTCCTAAGATTTTTCCTAAAAAGTATATCCTATCATCTTCAAATGATGTAATTTTTAAAAATAAAAGCAAAACCACTGTGTTGTGCTTAGATATCTTAAGCACTGCAGCATTTGTTTATTTAAGCGTTTTGTGTGTCAGCAATAATTCTTGTAAGAAACAGCAAGAAAACTGACAGCTGAGAAAAGGGGGAGAAGTTAACAGTAAATTATACACTTAATAACGTAAAGGTGCTTGTAATACGAGCAATCTATTTCAAGCTTTTAGTGGACAACACCCCATAGAATTGCAATTTGAATACGCACCAAACACAAACCCTGCTGACTCTGTAAGCTCTTCTCCAGCAGTTTCATTGAAAGCAACGTGGAAAAGGTACCACTGTGCCATTGTTAGGAGTAGATTACAGAACCGTAAATTCAAAAGAAGTTACATTTACAGAACACATTCTGTTTGTTAGGACATAATGAAAATATACTTCACTAGAAGTTTGACAAAGCCTGCTCCCATTAAAACTACTGAATGATTGCCTGCACGAGCATCAGGATCGCTGGACTCAGATTTTCTAAATAAAATATTGTTTTTAACAAAAAGGGAAGCCACAGAAAAAAAACAAAATAGTACATTCTAGTGGAAGGCAAGTATGGTAGAACCAGTACCATAATCCAGCATGTGGGTCAGAAAGACAAATACAGATCATCATCTATCCAGCTAGAAAGCCAACACACTGAGAGACAACCAGAAAGTCAAAAGTAACACTGAAGATGACTGAGAACAAAAACAGGCATATGTCACATTTGGAAAGCAGTATGAATATGAAATTATTCCAAGGTTAACTCTTCTATCTGAAATTAATAAGCACCAAAATCATAAAGTTCCAATCAGTCCCTCCTTCTCTATCACCCTCAGTAATGCTAATTCCCTGTCTCCATCACTGTAACAAAAATGTCTTCCTTCTGACGCTTCCAAGCCTGTCCAAACTTTCTTGCCACCTTCTGACAACACCTCCATCCTACTGTTCTTGCTTGTTTGAGTTCATCCCTCTCTCACATACCTCTCAGTTACTGCCACTTATCATAGAATGGCCGGGTTGGAAGGGACTCCCCCAAGGATCATCAAGTTCCATCCCCCTCTGCTGCACGCAGGGACACCAATCTCCAGATCAGGCATTAGACCAGGCTGCCCAGGGCCCCATCCAACCTGGGTTTGAACACCTCCTGTGATGGGGCATCCACAGCTCTCTGGGCAGCCTGTTCCAGCACCTCACCACTCTCTCTGTAAAGAAATTACCCCTGACATCCAACCTTCCCCCCTTGATCTTGAAGCACTTGCTGTTCCACATCTAGCTAGATACAAAATCCAGCCAATGAGACATTTGCCCTTTCCCTCAACTCTGATCATATCTTCAACCCTTCTTCCTTACCAAGTTCAAACTCCTCCTCTCCAGAACACAGCCAATTCCTCCTGACTTATGTTTCTACACTAATGAGCAGCACGCTCATCCCCATGTGGCTTTTTGCTTCAGCTGGCCCTCTCTGCTCACTCCCT